TTATAAAACAGACGTTATTCCTAAAACACCTTGTTTAATGAGCCAAAGTACATGACTACACCTAAACAAACTAAGTTATGTGTAAATGTTAAAAGAATATATTATATTTTACATAGTTAAGTGTATCGGACACTTAAAGATAAAGAACGAACAATTCACGCGAAATTAGAATAGGAATTCTAAAGAACGTAGATTTATCTTACGAACGTGACGTTCTCTGAATCTGAACGTGAATGATATGGCACATTTAATACCACTTCCACCTAACAATTACTAGTAATTCATAATCACTGGTTAAGGCAATTCAACTGTTATACTGAGAATGTAAAGTACCTACTATCAACGCGAATTCCAGAAAACCCAATAGGCTTATGCTACTACAAAATACATTTTTTATATTAGAGGAGGACAGACAAGCTTAGGGTTTACTTGGTATTAGGTAAAATGGCCCATCTGAGTCATATGCGCTACCGACTTATTTTGACTTTAGATATTCGGAAATCCACAGACTGAAACAGATACGTGATTGATTTTACCACATGTCTGGACGAAATTTTCGATATTCCTACCAATCCATTTATTAACCACATGAAGTCCTATATATTTCAGAAAAAGTAAAAATTGATAAGAACACAGTAGCTCAATTGGTTAGAGCAACAGCACGGGACGCTGTGAATGCCGGTTTAAGTTCTGCCCGTGTTGTAAATTTTTTCCAATCTAAAGTCGATTTTTATTCATAAAATATGCAAAATTATATGTAAAATTTATATAAGCTATGTGCTTTATGATTCATAATAATTCTTATTTAGAATCTAAAAAAAGGCACTTTAAGATAAACCATTTTGTAGATAATTTAATTTAGATAGATTTACTTCTCTAAGAGACTACATAACTTTAAGAAAACATCTTACTAAAATACAAGCGCAGTAAAACCTCGCACAACTTATTACGGTCTATTGTATTTTATATAATAGACCGAAGAACAATAGTTACGAACGCCGATTATACCGTCTGAAATTTCTACATTGTGTTATCGTATCATGTTTCGTTGACAAAAATATGACCTAGTGCGGTGGATGGTATATTGTGGGCCTACATCGCAAAGTAACCTTCCTCCCCACCCACGACTTGACTCAAACTCGGGAACTCGGTACGTACATGTAGCGTGCACTAATCACTAGGCCAACGAGACGATACGAGGTAAGATGGTTAAACGGTTTACATTTTTTGTAGATCGAAAATTGAATACGTTTACAAAAATCTGTCGGGTCCTTCAGTGCGATAGAAGCAACTATTGCTTCTTTAACGCGTAGGTTCGCTTCCAATCATATCGAACAAATTAGTTTATAATTTTTTTAATGTCTTAAACTTTGCGCTTCGACTTATTTTGACATTGAATATTTGGCTGTCTGCAGATTTCTGAATGTCCAAAGCCAAAAAAGGTCAATAGTGCATCTATTTACCTAGATATTATTGTATTTCACTTTCCATCCAGTAAACACTTGCTAGTCACTTTTCCTCTGTCATCAGAAAATTAAAGTGAAATATTATTATTGAACGTGATTTAAAGGTAAATTAAATTTGTCTGCTTTCACATTTTAATCGATTTTATTGCGCAATCTTTTATGTAACTACCAATCTTCACTATCAGTTTGCCTCTCATCAATTGTGAGTAAAGAAAGAATTGTATAAGATGCGTTTTTGATAGTTATTTTCGTTCAGTACCTTACATCGAATATATAACACTTTTTAACGATATTAAAACATGAATTAAAATTTCAAGTCTTTATCACGGTGGTCTTACTGACATATCGCGTTTAAAACAGTTTCAAAGTGCTATAAACTAACCAGAATACAGGTTTTATAGTTTGATAGTACCTTTTAATGTACCAAATTTATAACTAGGTAATTTAAATATAACACTTGAACGGTTTAAAATGTAATATATATTAGTTAAACTTATTTGAAAATTATTTGAAACTACGATTACTTTAAAAATTATTTTTTATTTAAATGTGTACTACTCGCGTAAACTACAGATAGGATGTTACTAGGTAAGTTAATTTAATAAAATAAAGAGTTTCAATTAGCTCTTGCTAAATTTAAATTGATTTGTGACGGCACAATGAACCAATAAAGTGATCTCATAATATTAAGGTTGCATTGACAAAACACCTAAATGAATCCCACGCACGCATTTCCATCTTAGGAATTGACGAATATTAAACATCATTTAGCATATCATCGCATATCTTAGCATTGCATAATATACGGTAGCCACACAGTTTGTTATCCAATTTCGACACGATCTGTTATAATAAATGAAGTATTTGTGGACTCTGAAGGCATATCTATCACAGTCTGAAAACGATACGCGATTACACATTACCGCATGCGAACTGTGGACGGGCTTGGTCGCAAATTTGAAATTCTTACCACCCCTGATCCTAAAGTCTAACTTCTCAGAAAAATGATAAATTTATTTTAGAAACATAATTCAATGGTTGGATTAGATCAACAGATCCACTACACGTTGATTATTGACTACGAATGGACGAGCCGAAGGATACAAAACCATTAGTACTTCAAACAGGTAATAGGGATGTTCGAATGCGCGTACGTCGAAATATAACGAACTTAATATAAATACAGTGCTATAGGTAAATTATAGTATATTTTTAAAAATGGAAACTACATATCTATATGTTTTCAAGGTACTATTATAGGTTCACTTAGAGATTGGTACGGAACTGACGCATTTCCTTTTTTCACATTAATAACGAATAAACATCGAAATATGCGCCAAGAATATTCCGCAGGCTTCGGTAATGAAAGCTATTGTGAACTTTTAATCAGTATATCCAGTTCGTATTTGCATTTCACGTGCGGGAATTACAAATTCAAGCTTTATACATTTTAATGAGAATGCCTCCTACTGCCATTCTTTTAATGCAAATGCTCCTAATCTCACGGTACGGTGTGTGCTTAGTTGATTTAAGCGTTCACTGTTTTCTTTCGGTATGTCATGTACGCTTGACTAATATATAATTATCTATTATTACGAGTATTATTTCTCTAAGTAATATGTCATTGTGTGTAATCCCATCAAAAACATAAATGTGAAAAAAAGGGAAGCCGACTTAGATACAATACTGTCTATAGTTTACGCGAGTAGTACACATTTAAATAAAACACTTTAACGGTTTAAACAAAAATGTTGCTTTGCTTCGCCGTAAAAAGAATAGAGATCTAAATGAGTGTCAAGTTTCATATTTACATATTTATAGATAAAGTAATATTATGAACAAGTAGTAAACTCTATGTCTTAGCTATATTGAATATGTGCAACAATTGCTGATATTTAAAAAAAGTGAAATCTTAACGTAAGTTACATTTGGCTTCATTAAATCAGTAATTTTGTGAAGTCATTCACTCCTGATAACTGGCAATACTTGATTTTGATAAAGCTTATAATAATTGAGCGAAAAAGAGAGCTTTGTAAACTTTGTAAACATAAATTAATCTTTTACCATAGCAAGTAGCTTTACTTTGTTAACGCAAGACATCTCAACACCAAGCAGACACAAAACACAATAATAGGTAAAATTAATAATAGTCGCATCGTATATTAATGTCAACTAATAATTAGTGTCCAGTTATTGGCAACTATAACAGGTATTGCCATAAAACATTCTTCACATTTTCTCGAATTACTAAAACAGAAAATGTGTCAAATTAAGCATTGTATTTAGTAAAGTTACTCTTCCATAATTCCCATGATCCAGACTTGATAACGGGCCTCGAAATGTGACCACAAAAACGTTGCACTTTGTGAATTGTCATGGTCTACCAAGTGTAACGTTAGACATTCTGATCTATCGCTTCCGAAAGGGTGAAAGGTACTTTTTGTTTTTGTAATCTATATTGGAAATTCGCTTCGCAATATCGACCGATGGAACTATGGTTTCTTTTATTTTTAATCGGGTTTATTGTCACCTTGGCGATGGATTAGAAGTGCTCAATTTATTGGCTTTTTCGATCCGCTAAGTAGACGCGATGTTTTGGTAACAGTGATATTGCTTGATTTTTTCACGGTAAAGTACAGGACAAGTATGGAGTTCGGTTGATGGTAGGGAATAGACCAGCCATATATTTTGGCTTAGGATATTCGGAAATCGACCTGAAACCGAAACGCGATTAAACTTCACGACGTTGTCATCAGTGCTTCGTGACCCGTACGGAATTTCAATATTCCTACTACCCTTTTAATATATGTAATGCTAAGGCTAGGTATGTAAGATTTTTCTATCGACGCAACAAACATATTATAACATTAAAAGACATGTATTAAAATGATTAAGAAATTAAAATGTGTCATCGCACCTAAGCATTATCTATTCTTTCTTATCTCAGTTCAATAAGTCGAAAAAATTGGTTATAGCAACAAATATGTTTAGTTATTAGTCAGTCGTTATTAAAAGATTTGAATAATTATTTAAAGAGCAAACACCACAGTACGATGAGGTCGTGGGTTTCAAGTCCCTTTAAACACATTAAAAGACAACCCTAAAAACAATGTGTTGTAAATACATTGATATTTTACTCTTACATATAAAACGGCTAGCAACGGTTTATAATTTTAAACTTTATTTTTATTATGTAGATTATTAAATAATAACAATAAACATTTTAACCTTGATATCCCCTCTATACAAGTGGGACTAATTTGTTAGATTATTACGACCTTATTACAGTTAACGTAAGAATGTACATATTTCTTGACTACCAACCTCCCTAATTCATATCTTCGATGTTAATAAAAAGTTTATTTAAGCTGTAAACTAATATAATATAAATTGGAGGTTAATCGTAATAAGTTGCTTGATTAGATAATAAGTTGACCCTTCAAGCCTTGCTTTAATATAGGTCTAGATCTAGATTGTCAAAAAAGACAAAATATGAACGTCAGAGTTTCGGGCTAGAACACAGAAGTCCAGAAAATGTGTGCCTATAAATTAAGATGGAGAAAATGCCTCCAACTTATGGTGGCTGGTGTAGAAAGGAGCATGTTGTGTACCAAGGACGACAGCACGCGTGCCGGTTGTTCACCTCGCACCAAGAATGCGCGGGATCGTGGTCCAATGCGGTATGAGAGGTATGACCGCTGCCTTTCGACCTCAGCATTTCTCTTGTAAGTGTTGCTCCATAGGATAAGAGAAAAACAAATTCATTCGAGTTTTAAATGCCGATTCAAACGAGGTAAAAACTGTTTCAAGTTGAGATTTAAAAACAATGGCAAATCAATATGGATTTGTTGATATAAGGAATATCGTCTTCACGAGAAATAAACAACCAATAATGCACATACTGCATAGCAAATAGGACAAAATATTGTTTTTTACTTTTTTAAATAAAACATCGATGGTTGTCTTTCCAAAAACTCCACTAACACCTCAATATTATTATATTAAGTAATTGCATATTAACATTTGGGACTATAGAAAATTGTTTAAACTCTTTTTGACCATTGAAAAAAAAATCTCTTCGTATAAACCAACCTCTTACTCCAAGGAAAATATCGTTTCATAATTTCTTACGATTTTCTACATTCATCGATTCATTTTTATTACTGAACTAACTAAGTAAATCAGAGCCAAAATTCACTACTACAATTAAATAATTAATATTTTATCTAGAATACGTCTTATACCATACTTTGACACTCGACAAATCAAACGCCTTATAATACCAAATATTCTACACCAGTTACAGTGCATATCGCGGAAGTGATCGGTTCTTCTTTTTGTTCAATATACCCATATTCATAGATCCCTATATGACCTAGGATCCTAACTCCTATATTTATGCGCATATAAAAACTGCTTATAGTTGGGATCCATCTCATCTATCGATTCCCAAGCCTTATAAACCCGTTCCTGAACTCGTTTGACGGCTTACACAAATGAATGTGATAGTAGGTTTTTATAAGGACACTTGATATACGGTGAATGGTGATGTAGACTCGTTGGGTAGCTTTAGGGCCTAGCGGTACAATCGCTTTTAAGTTCTATGCTACTCTATTATTTAAACAAAACACTTTAACGGTTTAAAACGCGAAATTTATTAGTAAGTCTTAGTTACAAATTATTATAACGATGGCCCGACGTTTTGGATGCTTTGCAGTTTTAAGTTTATACAGAGATTAAGTTTTATTTATACATTTCGCGTTTTAAACTGTTAAAGGGTTTTGTTTAAATGTGTACTACTCACGTGAACTACAGACAGTTTCTACTCTACTATTCTTAATTAAATGTGGGTCATAAAACTTTGTATATGATACGATATTTTATATGTTGTATATTAATATAAAAAGACAACAGCAACCTCTGATTGTTCAATGAGTTAGTGTTATTGACTGAATGTCAGTGTTAGTGTTTAGTGATAGTGTTGTTTAGCACTGGTCTCACTAGCTTTAGAATTAATCACATTTAGGAGCATTCTTTGCTAGTGTTAAGTTGCTTAAATTAAATATTAATTTTATTGCAAACATTTTCTTCGGTAATATTTACTTCTTTGGTTTTTTTCTATATATATGCAAATGTTGTCTATAAGAAATTTCCATAGGCGATAAGGCTGTCGATATTTATGTGTCTGTGTTCCACGATTACTTAGTTTGTTTGTGCAATAAGTATCTTATATTTATATTTTAAACAGATTTCTAAAAATGGCATAACTGCATTATCTAGTAAGAAACAGCGTCTTTGTCAAAAGTGTAGTAATATTTTTCTATCTGCAATCTTTATAACCAATAAGGCACTGCAATTTACTAACAATAGACGTGTAAGTTAAAAATTAACAATGAAGGAATTTGTTCCCGCAGCACCTGTTTTTTCCCTTTCTATAATGACTCATTGTTACATCGACATTTTATTTAAGAATTTTGCAATAAAGCGTTTTGATTGCTTCGTCATTTTGTCATTACTATTGAATCATGCGCACAATTTAATAGTCATTTTTTAACATGTAAGCGCTAGCGCTTCTTGTAATTTTATAAAAAAAAACCCAGTCAGTTGCCAGAATGAGTATTAATATGCTTGAATTAATTTTCAATCCTTTTTTGTAGAAATAGAATAGAAATACGTTTATTAGAGACAATACACAAACGATAAATAAACATTTACAGTAAAACTTATTTACAAACATACAAATTAATTAAATATTAAATAAATACACCAATATAGTTGCCTCTGAAAAGGAAGCCACTCACTACGTTGGGACTAAAGTCCCAACACCGATATTCTGTGGCTCCTTCAGAGGCCGACTAACGCAAGCGAGGTTTTCGTTTTTTTCTATTAAATAAAACACTTTATAATACAAAGAAAATAGGTCATTTACAGTAAAAATTACTATTTAATTAAAATCATTGATAATCCTAACATAATCATTAAATACGAGTTGGTAGCTCAAATGGTGAAGCAACAGCTCGGAACGTCTGTGGTCTAAGTTTAAATCCCGTCTGTGGACCATTTTCTTCTATCTTATATAAATTGTAACTCTTACAATATTATGAATGTATCCTAAGTTAACGTTTTAAAGAGCATTAGACAGGCTATAAATGTGAAGGTTACAGGTTAAGATGAACGCAAAGTAATTGTATTGATCGAAATCATTAAGTAACTATTTCAAATCGGAACAAAGTCTAAACTAGAAACATCTGAATGCAAAACAGTGTTAGTATTTAAATAAAACACTGTAACGGTTTAAAACGCGATATTTGTTAAACTTGTTTGAAAATAATAACTACCGCCCGACGTGACGGATGCTTTGCACGGTTCCGTTTAAATATTTTTCGCGTAAACACAGACGGTATTTAACAGTGTAAAAACAGAAGGTTTATCTAAATTTTAGTACCTTAGCGGAAGATGAAGTATTATTTTTTAACTTTGTTAAAGTCAATATAAATCGGTTTCAAGCGGAAACAAATGTTAAAATTGTAGAACATCTTTGAAACGCGTCTAACAAGAAGCGGATGTGTTTTTGTTTTATTTTGAAATGTTAGCGAGCAATCGCTTTTGGAAAATCACTTTCACATTTACTCTATACTTCTTTGTATTAGTCACGGTAGAGGTTGTATTTGTCTGTAGTAGCGTTGATTTTACAATCATTAGTTTTAATGAAACAGAGGTACAGTTTTTATAGGTGAGGAGGGTAGGCAAGCATTAGGGCCCACTCGATGAAAGATGAACCCCTTCCATCAAGGGACAAGACACACATGCAGTTCCTTATGATATAAAAATGATTGTAATGTAACAATGAAAGGCAAGTACTAACTTGTTTTACAAACGAGTACCTGCATATTACGTTCTACTACAGAAAAGTAACAAAAAGTTACACTATTAAAGATATAACACATTGAATACTACATTAAAAGAAACTAAGCTATGACGTTGTTTAGGCTTTCGGATGAAGTAAAAAATAATTTTTTTTTTCGTTGATATTGTTTAGTATTACGTTTTAAACCGTCAAAAGTGTTTAATTTAAATGTGTACTACTCGCGTAAATTACATACACTAAAGAACGTGAATTTGTAGTAAAAAGATCTACGAAGGTAGCTCGAGGTACATATCGTAGATAATATCGTTATAGTAGTCGACACTAATTTAGTAAAGTAGCCCATAACAGTTAAGTTTACTAATCTAGGTTAAACCCCCGATTGACATTGGATTCATTTGGGTTTGGTGTCGCGGTCTAAATGTGTGAGAGCTTCTGGCATTATTCCAAGTGGACCGACCTAGCGTCTACGCAGTACATTAATACATTATTTTTACGATAGACTAAACAATTACACATTAACATAATAATGCACTAAAATAGAAAGAAGCCTTTCCATAGTTTACGTAACGACTCAGTATTGACTAGGGACGTGATGAAATTCAGCTCAAATTCGCTTTATCCGAACTTCGTTGTACCGAATCGAATTTTGCAGTAATTCAACTTAATAGGCTTTCACATATGTAAGCTACAATTTAAATAAAGCACTAACGGTTTAAATTCAATCAATATATTATGTATGTATCGCGTTACACTACACTACTCGCGTAAAGTGCAGATAATATTTAAACAAACATCAAATTTATTTATACAGTTAAGTGTGTGAACGTTTATGACATTTTTCATGATGATTATATAAAAAAAATACTACGAATATTTTTATAGTAAAAAGTAATTATGTTTTAATTTAAATTAATATTTATGTTACACACATAAAACTAAATTTGGTTTCGGTTATAACGGTTATACTGTGCTATACATTAAGATAATTACTTGTGCACTAACGACGATGTCGTTAGGACGAGCTTCCGTGTGAAATATCATTATCGGCTAGGAAGTAGTTGAGTGACGAAGTGTTGTGGTGATAGACTAAGTTCAACTTCCTGTCATTAGAAGATAATAATATATGTTTGATGCCAAGACACTCTTCCTTTCATCTAAAACAATCTAATTTAACGTTTGATAATTATGAACTTTTATTGTAATGTGTTCTAACTACTTCTAACTATTATCACAATCGGTGCCTTTAAATTCGAACAAAAAAAATCCCTGATTGCATTTTAATAAATAAGAGTTTGAATTGCCTTATAATCCAATTGTTTTTCTAAGAAATAGTAAGACAAAGGTAAGTTTCATGTATTCAAAAATAGTTTTGAATATGAGTTTCCCATTGTTGCAGGATCGACCCACCAGTTCAACAAACACAGTTTCAAATGGATAACAAGAAAAACTTACCGGCAACACAACAACCGATGACCCAGCAGCATATAATGGCCCACCATGTCCACCCAGACCAAATATACACACAGCAACAAATGTCTAATCACGTCACCTCCAATCAGCCGATACAGAACCAACCCAACGGCATCTTGCATCAGCAGCAACTCATTCAAAATCAATATCACGCGAACATGACTGCAAGATCGCCGCTTCTAGAAAATAGACACGAAATATATGGCACCAGTCATAACCACGAATACGCAAGACATTATGGGACAAATGACAATTACAATTACCAGCATCAACAGTCACCGGTGTCTGAACGAACTGAACAAATCGTTCACACTGACCACAACGTCAATCATGATATAGTTCATAATATTCCTAAAGGATACAACGCGGAAGTTTACCAAGACTACTTGAAACGCAACCCACCGAAAGATACCAACCAAATATATCAAAATCACCAACCTACGTATAGACCTAATATGAACCAATACGGTTCCAAACCTTATTTACCGTATTCAAATAGAATAGGACCACAGAGTAATACAGAGCTTTTAAGGAAGCAATACAATGAAATTCAACAGTTGAAGATGCAACAACAGCTGCACTATCAGAATCAAGCACAAATGCACCAACAGCAGAAGTTCGCGGAACGGCAACTTCTACTACAGCAAATACACGGTGTGCAACCACCACCCAACTTACAGAACAGTATATATTCCGATAGTTCATACAGAGATTTGGATAGATATGGAAGTAGAAATGACTTCAAAGAGTATCAAGGAGATATCCATAAAGACATAGATAAGTATGCCAAGAATAATGAATACAGAGAAATGGAAAAGCAGAATAAACAGTTCCAAGAAGTCCAATGGCAGAGTAACCAAGAAGCCGTTTATCGAGAGAGTGAAAGGTATCGGAGTCCGCAGGAAGAGAAGACCAAGCAGAGATCGCCGCCATCAGATTTCAACAATCAAATGAAGAAGAATAACTCTGGTACTATTTCGCCTATGAAATCTAGCGAGTCGAGTACACCGAGCGTAAAATCGCCGTCTTCTGAAAGTCGACGGAGTAGCAGCGGTCAGGCTTTGCGGTCGCCCACAGCCCAGAGGATTCCATCCGCACCCGTTACCATGGCGGGAATGCTGTATAAACAGGGATCTGATGGTCTTAAAGTGTGGCGGAAGAGGTGGTTCGTACTGTCGGAATACTGTTTGTTTTACTATAAAAGTAAGTTGCACTCTAGTCTTTCTTGGTTTAAAACTAACTCATTGATTTCCCTTTCTACTAACTTAATTTACGGTCGTATAGATAATATATAATTTTCCTTTTAAATACTTACGTTATCATTTCTTTTTTTAAGATCAACTAATGTCTATAATAAATGTGATTTTCTTTACAACATTACACGGTGGACTTATTCCTCGGTCATTTTTGTAGGTCAAGACGAAGAAAAACTATTGGGATCAGTTCTTTTACCATCTTATAAGGTATCAGCTTGTACGAGTGAAGATAAGGTAATGAGGAAGTTTGCCTTTAAATTAGAACACGCAAATATGCGGACTTACGTGTTAGCAGCGATTGACCAGGAATCCATGATGAAATGGGTGAAGGCACTTACGATGGCAGCACTGATGCAAAATTACACGTAACGATAATGTTTATTTTATGGCATATAATAATAACTTGCAACTATATGAAGTTTACAAAACACTATTAACTACTAAGACTAAGTACATACTAATTCATGTGAATATTATTCACTTTACACCATTTCATATCATAATTTATAGTGAAGTTTAGTACGAATAAAAAGTATTTATTATTTTATTTAAAAGTCCCGTAAAAATAAACAGTCACGTGACTTTTTGGGACTTAATACTTTCACAATAGATGTCGCGTTAGCGTTTTTACACAATGAAGTGTATATATTTTTTTCTAATTTTGTTCGTTGTTAAGTTTGTTGTAGTTTAATGTGTAATTATTTGTTCTAATTTGTGAACTTCATCTACGGCGACTTCTAAATGTACGATATTGTTACACATTTGAAGAAATTACGTGCCTTTTTTTATAGATTTTTTTATATGTGTAATTCTATGTAAATTTTTGTTTATAGCGAACACCAACGTAGACAAAATGAGCGGACTGCAAAACCAGAGGTACGTATTAACGTGTGCATATAGTGAATCGATGCAAGTCCTCAATCAATGCGCTAGAGCGTAGCCAAGGACAGCCAGCGGTTTATGACCATAACAGTAAATGTCGATCGATGTCAGCGCAAGTTTTTATCACCTAAAGTCGTATAAATTAAACTGTATGTTTTATTTAGCACGTTCATTACCTGATCAAGCTTATATTAAATGTGCTAAATAAATGTACGCATATAAAGAAACAAATTGTTCGTTTACAACAAAAAGATAGTACACACGGTGACGGAAATAGGCACCAGGCTTATACATGCTATAGTGTATGCAAATCTACAGCTGCAACGTCTATTTTTACCCAGTTTGTTTACTATTAAATTAAATGAGTAACCTACAAATAATACTTGTCGATTTCCAGGACGATGACGAAATTCCCGGGCCTACTTATGCGAACGCACCACCAAAACCGCGCCGTTCAAACGATGGGTATAATTCGCCAGGGTCAGATATGTAAGTTGCAATAAAATCTTTTTAAAGGACACCAAAATACCCCTTTTTTAAGTTTCGAAGTCAAAAACGAATTACATTTTATTACAGATATGATCCTAACTACGATCTCTTAATAAAACCAGAATCACAGTACAATAAAAGTGTCAATACATATCAAGATCAAACAACTTATGGTACTAAACCAAATCAAGAAGGCTACGTTCGCAGTCCTCAATCTCCACCAACTCAATCTCTCTATCAAACGAAACGAGAAAATGAAATACATAATGCGCCAACGACATCCAGTCATCCAGAGAGAGTAGAGAGGAGTCAAGATCTCATGTCCTATAAATACAACCCACAACCTCCACCTTTCGAAGCCAGACGTGGACAACAGCCTGATCAAAGTGCTTATATCCAATCGCAAAATAACCCCTTTCTGCAGAATTACCTTGGACCAGATACTCGTTCACATGTATCTGAAATGCTGAACAATACTACTTCTGATACAAAATCAGACAAAAGTTATACAGAAAATGCCGGAGACTCTAGGTTGAACACAAAACACCACGACACAAATGCTTATAGTAGAGATGTCTATGGTGAACTAAATAGTATTAAATCTGGCCATACCAATAGTGGTGTTAATGATAGAATAATGGAAAGAAGAACACCAGATGCCTACGGTCGTTCCACAACTATGTCTAGCTATAAAACTAAAGCCGGAGATTATGAGGACGTGTATTCGGCTTATTCCAATGAAAATCCTGCCAAATCGCCCAATTTGTCAATACAACGCGATAACATAAGTTTATCAAGTCAAAAACACATCCAAAAACAAAATCAAGTAAGTAAACCACCTTACAATCATTTAGAAGAGTATTTTATAAATAAACTATTAATATTTAAGTAGATGCGTTTCGTGTGTAGTAATTAATAGCTACAATACTTCTGTTATTTGGAAATAATGTCTCATTGTAATAATGATTTTGATGTTACAGCCCCAAGATAAGGTCTTTAGCGGACCGTCAGTTTTGCGCAGAAAGAAAATGCAAGCAAGCGGAATTCAACCTCCCATGCCCCGACCGCACAGTGCAGATTTCCTAGAATACGAATCTAAAAATGAATCATTGAATAAGACAATGCCGGCGCGGACTAACTCTGAACTTCACAGACATCCACAAAGACCTAAGTCGAGCCTCGACATAAATTCGTACTACGATCCCAGCTCCGATACATATTATTCAGAAGAGAGATACGCAGAGAAAATGAGACAATCGGCGCAATATTTACAGCAACAAGGAATGGGAACTTCAAAGAATATACACATCCCTTTAGCGAAATATGCGAGCGGCCTAGTCGAAAAACAATTACATTCGCCTTACGCCCATTCTGTTAATAACAATTATGAAACTGAATTTGGCGTTAAACATAATCGGGATAACGTTAGCTACACCTCAAAATACAGTGATCTTGAAGGCTTGAATTCTAACTGGATGTTAAAGGAGAAAGATCTGGAGAATCAAAAAGATTATTTAAATAGGAGCGGAAGTGTTATGAGCGATGGCTCAAATGTAAGTTTCATGAAGGAAGTTAGTAAACTTGATGTTAACGCTGATGGTTTTATCAGATCAGCAAGTGCAAGGTTGCCTTCGACAGAACGTGACGGTGAGAAGAAAGTTCAACAGGTAATTTTTACTACTCCTTGTTTATAGATACAAAACTTACAATATTTGATTTGAAAGAACGTTTTACAGTAAATAAAATATCTTTTGTCCACAGCAGCCCATACTAATAAAATTATTTATCATAATCCTATTAAAATAGGTAAAAATTTAAAAATGTGGCATAAAATTTTTACTTAGACTTTTCTTTCAAATTGCAGCGTGAAGAGTCAATGAAAAGACTTTTGGAGTGGAAGCAAAGAATGTTACAATCACCTTTGACCAGAAAAAGTACTCCCGCAACAATTTCCTTAGCAAGGTCTTTGAATCAAAGCCGTCAATCATTAAGATCAGATCAGTATAAGCCAAAAGGATACCCCAATAATACGTACAACAGCTACTCCTCTGATGACGAAGGTTAGTTTTCTAAATTTAATGTATTTATAGGGTTATTGTAGTCCAAAAGCATGATTGTGTTTTCTGTTTCTTAAAATAGACTTGAGATTTTCGAGGCATGAAAAAAGTATTTAAATTATACGCATGATAAAATCTACTTGTGTTAATTATATTAAGATACAAATATTTGAATTCATTATGTTTAGACTTGGGCTAATAGAATAAGTAGATAAAGGAGACTATTTATTATTATTTATTAAGCTAATAATTGTATGTTGACTACAAATATAAAAATGCCATTGAGTATAAATGATATTTATTGTATAAAAACAAAAGGCAGCCTTTTGATGACTTCGCTTTGCGGAACGGAACCTTCCTGCCTGCTGGGATGTGTCACTAACACTTGCATTTTAACGGTGATGGGTCAATAACTAGTATACTGTAGAATTAAAAAAAAAAACTAACATACTTTATTTGGAAATGGGGTCATTTTTATTTACTAACACAATAAGAAATTAAATTCGTTAATGAATAGTACTTTTCAACGTTAAAATATAAATATTTGGTTTCGCTTTTGCACCTCAGAGGAAACCACTGGAACTGATCTGCAAAACTCGAGCGATATGCAGGCAGGAAGGTCTTTTGTAGAGGGTGTTGGAAATCCCTCAGTATCAGAACCAATATCCCCAAACTTGCCTTGTACCATGCACTTGACAGATGAACCAAATGTAACTATTGAAACATGTAATACAGAAAACGCATACGAAAATATTCACTTTCAAGAATCGAATACCGAAGTAACTGAAAATTACAATGATGAACACATATATGAAGATCATATTCCTCAATGCAAACCAGTTTCTGTAAAGCAAGATGAAGACGAAGTAAAAATGTGTGATGGTTACGAAACTCATGATAGCGAATCTGAATCAGAGGTTCAAGTTGAATACACCGACAATGACTTAGATGAAGTTTTACTTGAATCGGACTGTGAAGAAAATATAACGACTTCATCCAATCCATGTCCAACCAACACTAATGAAAAAGAATTTTTAAGCAGTAAGTCAGAAACCCCACCAATCACTGTGTTAAATGAAGACCATTATTTGCCAATGAGTCCACGAAAATCATTACCAATTGAACCGGTACATAAAATGATATTAGAAAATTTAAGTGTCTTTGATCAGTCAATGCCCTTTATGTATGAAGATAATCCTTATGTAGAAATGAATTTACCCGGCGAAGAAGACGACATGCAGACTTATGAAATAGTATGTGTTAATAATGGAAAAATGGTAGAGCCGGTTTACATGGAATTAACAAATGTTACAACAGATGATAAGAACAAAGAAGATGCAAATACAAAAGAAAGTTATTCCTCGGATACAGCTTCGAATTTCGCAGACACTAAAGATCCAACACTCAAAAGAGTATCCAAAACAGAAAAAAATAAAGAAAAAGTAGAAAGTTCAGACGCAGACGACGACTGTTTAAAAGATTTATCTTTAGATGCTCCTTTCAGCAGGTTAAGTATATCGGACACATTTAGACCTGCCTCATATTATTTAAGTGGTAGTACGACGATGTTATTGAGACAAAATAGTTCAGACAGTGATATTTTACCACCGCCGCCAATCCCAGATTCATCTCCCCCGCGTGAACTCTCTGATGAAGCTCTATCCAGATACATTTTGGATAAACTGGACAAGTCAGATATATCGCAAGATAATTCAATTCTAAAAATGTTAACTAATGAAAAGCAAAATATGAATAAAATGAAAAGAAAAGCAACATCATTAATGATCTATGGGAGCCGAACTTCTATTCACGATACTCTTACGAGAGGTGAAAAAGTAAGACATAATAGAGCGAGCTTGACGAATGACAGAAATAAAATATATGAAGATGATGATACCGTTAACCTGTTAAATAGGTCCTTATTTGATATTAAGAATAACTCGTCAGATTGCATAGATTCCGACTCCTTTAGAAGTTGTAATGTTGAAAGAGGTTCAGAAGAAGGCTCAAGACTGTCATTAAATTCTGATGTGAGCAGCAAATTCGAAACCACTCCATCGAATGTATCATCAGAAATTACTAGTTTAATAGATGGCGAGTCTATGTTGGATTTGAATCCTACAACTGATTACATTGAAAATCAAATATCTAGTAACTGTCAGCCGTATCCCACTTATAACTTATTAATTGACGAAAATGTTAGGGACAGTCCCAATACATTTAGAGAAACCAATTCTATCCTAGATGGTGCAAATTTTAATGCACTTTGTTCACATAAACGGTCTTCTAGTACACCTGTGAATTGTGAAGCCAGTGTTATAAGCAATGGGAGAACAAATCATGCAATGGAGCCAAAACGCCTCGCAGCGCAATACCGAAGCATTGTTGATCATGCTTCTGGATATATTGGTTCTCAAAGTTCTTGCAGCTCTGTTGGAGTATCCAACTCTCCAATATCTTTTTATACAAAAAATTGTAAAGGCGAAACTCTTTTGAGAAAAAACTTGAACAAAAATACCGTTAGCGATAAAATAAAGGAATTTGAGACGGAGAAGATCAATATTAAAGAAAAATTTACAAGTCCTACAACCACTGGGTTTCACAGTAGAGAAAGTTCAACGGAACATAGTGCGCCTTATTATTATTCAGATCTCTCATCTCAGGAACAAATAAATGTTTTGCCTACATCTCACTTTTTGAAGAACACCAACGTACATCGTAAATTGAATAATCAAAGACGTAGAGGACTTTTACATAAGAAGAATGAAATTTCGCATATTCATAATCCTATTCATAGCAATAATAATATTTTTACTTGCGATAACTCTTTCGAGTTGGCAGCTGCTAGAAGCGTTTCTGTAGAATTTCTTACCGCAACTGAAAAAGATACAGACATAGATATGAAGAATATATATGAGTCGACTAGTAACAAACGGTCAAAAATACCAGAGTCTATTAGTTTAATAGCGGGTCTGGGATGTAAACGAAATACGACATCAAATGCACAATCCGAAGAAAAGCTTTTATCCGAAAATACTGATGTTCAAAATCGCAACTTAATAAAGGGAAGAGTTTCTAACGGCAGTATGTCCTCACATTGTAGTGAAAACTCTTCTAATACTGTCTATTACGACGCTGAGACTGAAGCCACCACTTATGAGAATGTGTGTCTTGGTGAAAAACATTGGGATGAAGACCATTTGTGGAGAGACAATCTTAGAAGAGTATCGCATAGGCATGCGAGGTCAATGGACGACTTAGATACTGTGCCCGAATCGTTTAATTATAATAATACATCCAATTTAAATAGTATTAAGCGCGTAAAGAAAACCGGTTTAAATAAACTCAGTAGAAATGTCACTTACGTAAATTGTGATGTACAAGCGGAAGTAATGAGGCATAAGGAGAATTTGTTAAGCCGAGGTGTTGCAGATGAAAACGACGTTTACGTTAGCCTTGCAAACGACGCTGATGTGAGCACGGATAGAGTACAAATTGACGAAGGTGTTTATGAACAGCTTTCTATCGAAGCCGTCGAAAATCCACCTGTTAGTGCGTATCATAATAATGTGAATAGCAATACTAAGAAAAATAAAAAACAATTTGAAATAGATAGAGAAACCTTGAGGCAATGGGATTTAATGTCAAGTGGTTTAATGAAAGATGGTTCAAGGCGAGTGCGGGGAACGGTTTTGAGTGCGAACGTAAATGAAGCTGCATATAGTTCGGAGAATAGAAATGCAAGCGACGAAGGTGTCCACTGACATTCTGTGGTCCAGTTAGATATATTATGTAAGTTTAAATTTTATGTACTTACACGCAAAGCAAAGTCACAAATATTGGCATTTTTATAAATTATTGTACAAACAAGATAAGGTGTATATAGGAAGCATGTTTCATTGTTAACAATGTAAATAGCACTGAACGTGTACATAGGAATATTGTGTTACCTCCACACTTTATCGTGTTTAGGCAAATCATATAACGAATATTAAATGGAAAAATAATGTTCAATAACACGTCTTTTCCAGCTTCAATGACCATGTCAGGTACTAATATAGAATCTAATACAAATAATAATCAAATTAATCAGCAAACATTATCAAAGAAAGCATTCCTCGGAAGTAATACATCTATTGGACGTAGTAATAGAGATGGGAATATACCAGTACGCGCAGTCAGCCCGAGAGTGAGATGGGTGGAAGATAAGACCAACGAGCAATATGGCTCACAACAACTGACCGCGTCACAGCAAAATGTAAGTATCTAATCGTAATTCGGTTATTTTGTTATAAAAAAGTTAACAAAGTAAATGTGGGGTAAAAAACCCAAAAAAAAAAAAAAAAACACACCACATAAAACTTATCTGATTACGAAAAAAAAGGTTTTCTAACTGTATGTCTTCTATATACCTTGTTTTATATAGTTAATATCTATCTAGTTAATATTTAGACACCGCGGTTTTGTAGTGAAATGTACGTAAAGCATTATTAATTTACTTAATTATAAATGTATAATACTTTTAGCCACGAAGTTCTTAAATATAAAATCTATAATTTCTAGTTAAGCACGCCTCTTACTGAAGATTCTTGGACTACAATACGATCTCCTTCGAGGATCTCCCAACAGCCGGTCAGCGCTGTTAGTCCTAGAGTCAGGAGAAATACAGATATGGACGAAATGGTATGGTCTTGTTGTATTTTTTTTGCCTTTATATTAGCTGATGAGTTTCACTATTCACGTTTATGGGATGTTATATTTTTTGTTACTGCGTGTAAATACAACATACATAGTGAGATAAAATGTATATAAATTTGATAAAAAAAAGATGACCATATTCATTAACGATTACATTCCTTGTCATTTCTACCATATAGTGTCATCCAATATTAGACAAAGTATACATATACTGTGTAGTTTTTATTATTTTATGTTATGCTTATGTTTTGTTTATGTAGTATTTGTTTTGTTGCGTTTATCAGAAAAAGCTCCAGACTAGAGTTGGGGAATTAATCGATATACCGACAGCTGGTGAACTTTTGGGCAGGAGTCATGAAGAACTCGTTCTACTTTTGATACAATTAAGAAGACGACACGCCGCCACGCACCGGTCAATAGAACAATGTTGCGTTCAAATTAATAGCATAGAGGTGCTTATTGTGCTTTTATTTGTTTTTTTTTCTTATTTTTAGCCTATTTTTTGTGACTGTAAATGTTAATATTCAGTTTCATATTTTGCGTGATTGAAGAGAAAGTCCTGCTGGGAAACATTTACGTCCAAAGTTGTACCTCTCTAAAACTTCAAGTCCAGCGATCTTTTCAGTATCGCGACCTTATACTATTAGTAGGCATATAGAAAAGGTTTTATTCATATTTAAAAAATACATTCTTTTACAGGAATGTCTCAGTTCATTAAAAGCTATGGAGCGGGAAGAAAGCTTGAGACGCTTAGAACAATTAAAGATGCAGTTGACGGAATTGGAGCAGCACTACGCTAAGAGTAAACCACTGGTCCAGTTAGTGGATAATATGGTAAAACTGGGATCATTGTATAATAAACCTGGATCGACTATTGAACGTCTGGAACGAAACCAGAGGTTACGGCAGAAAGTTCTAGCTGAACACGCGTTGGAGCAGCAGCGGTAATTTTAAAAATTGTTAAATAGAAAAGTTTCATATGTAAAAATCGTTTTTAGATTGAAAATCCTTTACGACATGTACGGGTCTTGAACCGGCATCCACAACGTTCCGCTCTGCAGCTCGAACCAAGCGAGCTACCGTGTCCTACACGTCATCGCCTAACTTTTTTAATCTATTGAAACATGCACCTTTTACTTAATGTAAATTCTTCAAATTTTTTTCAATCTAAAATCGATTTTAGACAAGTCTAAAAATATCAAAGGTTCCAAAAGTTGCATATGGTTGAACTTAAATAGAATTAAATTTTCATACATAAATTAAGTCTCACTAAGTGATATAATTCCAGGTGGTTAGAAAGTGCAGCAGCAGGTAAATCTTTGGAAACAGAAGCAGCTAGGGCACGAGTGGCTGAACTATGGGCGTTAGAACAAGAATTGGCTGACGAAGCTTCAATATTGCAGGGACTTAAAACGGACAAAGATGCTATAGAGTCGTTGCTTTCTGGTTAGTAAAGATATAGAGTTTCCAGTTTGGTATTTCTTTTGTATCAACTTTTTATAAATTAGCCCGTTGGGGTTAAAAGTATTTTTTTATGGTAGAGGAGGATAGCTAAGCAAAGAGTTACTTGGTGGTAGATGAAATAACCTAATCATACACGACACTGCACTGTCGATTAGGCATCTAATTTGTCTTTGTATATTCGGACTTCCACAGACTGAAACGGAAATGCGATTAAACTTAACGCTTTAAAATGTTGGAGCTTTTGTCTTTTTTTGTCTATGACTGATCCTGATCCTTGTCCTTGAAATTGATATAAATCAATTTTTAAATGTTTCCCAGGTGTTCGTAGTAAGCTGGACTCTGTTAACATGGATGATGTACCGCTTCCAGGTGGAGGCCTGGAAGCCGAATTAGCTCGTGTTCATGCAATGTTGGCGCACAATTCTAAGGTTTATAAGGTTTTCATCTATACCATGCACTTATTATTTTATTTATTATTTCCCTTACATACGTTTTTTTTGTGCACAGATGTGGAGCTACAAGCTAGATTACCACTCTTTGGTTTTGTATGTGATATAATAATTTTTCTATTATTATGTTTTCTACGTGGGTAATTATTTCTCAGCTTCGTTAGGTCGACGGCGATTGACAGGTGTAGCTGTCAAATAAACGTCACTACAACAAAACAAAACACGATCAACCGAACATTTGACAATTACGCGTGTAATATGAACTCTAGTTGAATTACTCACGCATGTTAAAGTATACATTTGATTAGCATATTTTGAATAGGCTTTTCTATTGATGGAAGCGACAATAAGTATGACGAACCTTAAATTGGAAAAGCTCCCTTCTCCTAATCTCCAAAATACTTTAGCCGTCTTTTAGTAAACTTAAAGGTATAACTCAATATACTCATTAAGCGATGTATGTATAGAAACTGGAGCAGACGGTGGCAGAAAACGCGCGGTTAGAACGTGAGTTGCAGCAGTTGCGTCGTGCGCTTCGCGCGCGTCGTGCGTCTGCGCCTCAACCACCATATCCAGCGCAACAAGCGAACCCCTCTCACCCCACAGCAATGCTTGAAGACGGTAAATAATTTTAATATATTGCCTTGTTCCCATTATATCGTAAAAAAAAGAATTGTTCTTTTTTTTCATTAAATATTTTTTTATACTTAATTAAATCTTTTGGCTTTTAAATAAGAAATACTTTTGCAACTTATATTTGACAAAAATTCTTACTATATAGATTTTTCAAAATATATTTACACGTTTGTCAATTTTCATGTTTTTCACATGTTATTGCATGGAAAAAAAATTTTCACACATCTTTACAGAATATTCATTCTAACATAACAGTGAGTACCAATTAAAATTTTAATATATATCTTTAAGATCATATACGATATCATACTACATATAATATGAGTAAAATGGTTAGGGCCTGAAGTTTTGAGGTTGAAATTACATTGCGCGAGACGTGCATGTATCAATAGATAGAAAAAAATCGACAATGACGTGTAGGGCACGGTAGATGTAGATGCCGGTTTAAGTCGTAAGCTTTTTCACTCCATAATCGATTTCCAATTTCTCTATATATATATATTTCCCCAGAGGTAACACGTGTACAGCAGCTAGTAACGGCTTTGCAGCGGCAACGGCAAGAGCTGAGTCGCGCTGTGAGACATCTGACGCAGCAGTCGCATGTACTGCAGAACACCCACGACGCTATGCCAGGTAACTAACGATCTTCTAAACAACCATTCATCAAGTACAGGTTTTAGCTTGTAATGAAATTTGAAAATACTTCTTCGTTAACATGTTAACGTTTAAAAGGGAGATACATACATTCAAATGAAACACGTTTAACGGTTTAAAACGCGAAATGTATTAGTTAAACTTTACATTATCTGACGTTTCGGATGCTTGCAGTACCAGCTTGGGCACGGAAAAGCCGCCGTTAAAAACGTTTTATTTAAATGACTCATGTAAACAACAGACAGTATTTAGATACTTATTTCTCTAGTGATGTCCCATACTCCAAAATGCTTTATTCAAATTATCCTAAGAAATGACATCACACACTGGGTGACCACTCCAGTTTTCCAATAAGAATGTATTCAACAATTCAGTGTCCAAAATTATCAAATCGTCTCTTATAGGCAATCGACCCCCGACGTCGTATTGGCAAGAAACTAATCTGGACACTGGTCACACTATTGACCATAGTCGAGACTATGATTACGAGAGTCAGCTCCTTCCCTCAGGGCATTACGGACATAGCAGCGTGGAGCCACTGTACGTGGACACTAGAGGACCTGGTGACATCACCTCACCCATGAACAGCGAAGATATGCAGCATTCGGCGTTCGGTATGGCAATATGAAACTTAGTATTATACCCTTAAAAGAAGAAAATGACTATATACCTGACAAAAAGACTAGTTCCACACTTATTGTGGTTAAAAGTTGTAAGTGATGTTTCAAGTCCTGCCCGTATCGTATTTTTTTTAAATTATTATCTCAATTTATTTTTTAACTCAAAACGTATTGGTTAAACTTATTTACAAATAATTTTAACTATATCCGCCGTGACCACGCCTGCTACAAAATAACTGAAACAATGAGCCGTAGGTTAATTATATAATATATTAGTTACATTATAACAAATAATTTGTGAATCAGTTAAACTTATAAATGTCGCGCTTTAAACCGTTAAAAGTCTTGTAAAATAATTATAATAATTTTATAAGTTATGTAATAAATAATGTTTAATCCTTATTTCTGACTTTTCTGAATTAGTTAACTGATGCTTTTTTCAGGCAATTTATCGAACGTCGAGAAACAAGAGATAAAAACGGTCCGTATTGTGAAACGCGAGAGCGAGAGACGTCAAAGGGACAGGGAGCGTTCCCTCCAGCCCATGTCGGATTGGTCCACCAGTGTCACTGCGAACCTCGACCAATTCCTCGAAGAAGAACTAGTCCAACCGATAAACAACTATCGCGCGTCGTCCGTCCCGAGAACGGACTACACCAAGTTCGAAGATTACTACGCTAAGCAAAACAAAGAAACTCCATTTCTCAAATTTGAGAACATGGAACTAAGCCCCAAGTACCCATCGAGCCCGTCTTTGAACAACTACGACTATTCCCGGGATATCTCAAATTATAAAAGCTACGACAGACCCGGATACGACAGACTGTCTCTGTCAAACCAGTATTTGAACAGCCCAACCGAGAGTGCTAGAACACTAACAAACGATCCTGTTTCAAAGACCAGCAGTGTTATGAGTTTGGCCAGATCGAATATGGAGCTGTCTCCGATATTCAAAAGCGAAGCGGCGAAGGAAATTATAACGGAAATGTCGCATGCATACTCAGAAGAATGGGTCGTTACACCGACGTCAAGTGCCGAAGGAGAAGAGGAGGCACTATACAGCACCCCACCATTTGAGCGCTAAGACGCTCAACGAACTGCCGAAAGAGATTTATAAACAGGATGTAAGTACTCCGTAGTTTACGCGAGTTTAAATAAAACACCAACGGTTTAAAACGCAAAATATATTATTCCCGACGTTTCGGCTGCTGCAAAGCATAGTTGCGTGTCGTAGTTTGAAATAATTTGTAAACTAGTTTATTTAATATATTTCGTGTTTAAAACCGTTAATGTTATTTATTAAAAAGGATGTAAGTATAAAGTAAAATTTTCACTTTTTATATTGTTTTCTATTATCTCTTTTAAAATTCAAATTGCCAGACGAAATTGCATAATTCAGAACAATTATAAAATTATAAAATCTTCAGAAATATGTTAGACCCGTAGCCATACATAGCAACCATTAGACCAACGAGGCCTAACTAAGATTTAACTGAATGTGGCAGGCAATGGGTCGTTCAGTGGATGACGCGGATATGTTGAGAGCCCTGCGCGGTGCCGCTCCAGATGTAGTCCGTTCCGCGCTCCCGTCTACCAAAATACCAGACTCCATTGACCAGCTACTCGCTGCGCCGCAGAAAATCGTTATTCCAGAACGATACATCCCGGAGAAGGTACCTCAATTGCTTCTTAATCTACGAAAAATACCTTAGTTTAGAAAACACTGTAAAAAATTTTCCCTTTACACTCTTAAAAGCGCTGTAGACCTATTTTGGCTTTGGATATCCGGAAATCCAGATCCCGATCCAGATCCAGATTCCAGATGAAGTCCAACATGTTTCAGAAAAACTTATAAAAAGAAAAATTGTTTCTAACACAATTTCAAATTTTTCGACAATATTGAACCCGGTGGGGATCGAACCGTGGATAACCAGTGGATCAACGGGCCCGTCAATACCAAAGATTTTTTATCAATAGATTGTTGAAATCGATTTTATAAGAATCATTTTAAAATCTTGTGTTATAAACTATTACAGCCTCCAGAGCTTTCACCAGAAGAACAGCAAAGAAGACAAGAGAAAGTCGAATCAATCAAGAAGATGCTAACTAGTTCTTCAGCAGATCCTAGCAAGGTGAGCTATGAATATTTAAAAAAGGCTTAGCGTGAATTTAGAAGATAGTCAAGTAGATAATAAATTATATAAAAATGAATTTGGACAATATTAATATAAATATTATATGTCAGCATCGAATTAATTTCGTAAATCTTATTATCTTCTTTTGACAAAAACTGAAAAGTCTTCTATAATGTTGTAATATTTTTTGAAATATACTTTTAAAACACTTTTAACAGTATAAAATGTGAAAAGTATTAGTTTATTATTTTAACTACGTAAACTAAAGACAATATCATTATTTTATATAAACAAAATTATAATATACTAACTATACAAAATATAACCAATATAGGGTCACTATATTCACAATTAGGTACATAGGGAACACACATAACGTCATTCATTTTCCATATACATAAATATTGAAAACAATGTAGTCCTTTTGCATCTTGCCTTGCTACGCTTTGTCATTTCTGAATGTTTGCATGTTTCATTCTTATCATTATCATTATACATTACATATAACCAAATGTCTAGATTCGCTATGTTTGCAGATGGTCTAACTGTAGTTAGATTTCACGTCCCTACGTCATGTCATCGTCCTCAAATATTCTAAAATGATTACAGAAGAAGACATTTTTTTATTTATTCACATATCATTGCGTAATTTTTATCATTTTTGTTTTTATGAAATCAGCTATCAATCTCATAATTTAACCCTTCCACGCTCAAGGGAAATATTTTACCCTTCTTTTTTTAAATCGTTATGGATTATTCAATTATTATTGAATCGATATTTTTTTATGAATGTTAAAATAAATCTTATGAAATTATAGCAACCTATACACCTTGCTGAGTTTTTCTAGTGATATTATCTTACTTTAAAATAGATCAAATATTGTGTTATATATTTAGTGTCAGCCATCTTATGGTCCTGTAAGAGTTAAATAGAAGAACGTACATAATTCTATGCTTTTTAAAACGTGTATTCAAATTTATATTCGATTTAATAATTTCCATTACGTATCATAATATAATCCTTTGAATACTATTCATAAATTATTTTAATAAACATCAAATTCACCCTTCTCCATTACGCCATTTCACGTAACGACGCCATTTTGTGTCCATCCGCCATCTGCAAACACAAGCTAAGCTTCGAATGTTGGCTGTATATACAAGCACTGTTATTCATGTGCTTATCGTTAGAGCCCGGACGGCGAACAGAAAAGACAGCGCGAACACTTGCTGCAGATGAACCAGATTCTTGCCAAGCAGGTCACAGAGATGAGCAAAATTATCGCCGGTAAGCCGTGGATTTTTTGGGACACTCGACTTGGCATAGCCTTCATGTACTAGGCTTTGATTACTAATTTTTAACTGGTTATTCCTTTGTTAGGTCTTGGCTCCAATTATACTATAATTATGTACTCAGTACTATAATTTTTTTCTCGTATATAAATTTTCTGCCTATTTTCATATTTTTTACAACTTTGGGTCTGCAATAAATTCAACCTTTTTTAAATTGAAATACATCATATTTTTTAATTAAATTTATTTTTTATATTCAACTTCAACAACAACTTCAGGCCTTAGTTAGATTTATAGATAAAAAACTTATTTTTTGTCCATAAAACATCTGTTTATACTTAAATACACTATGCCAAGTTGGGTGCCGGGTTTAAAACACTGTTTTTTGGATGCATTAATATATATTTAAATGTCAGTACTAAATGATATTAATGCTTTACCTTTTTCCTTTTAACATACATTTAATACTATTTAATGCATCCAATATTATATTAACTCCCAAACGCTACAACAGTAACTCCACAGTAGCAGCGTTTATATGTGACTTTTAACTTTGAAAATCCTTTTTTTGATTTTGCACTTTTGATTGATTTATTTGCTGTTATGAGAATTATCGATTGCATGCATCTTTTGAATATTACGTAATTTTTATACACTTGAAAAATAATACGTAGTACATATTTACCGTTTTCATAATTTAAGTCATGACGCCCCATCATGGTTTGACGTAGATTTATATGCAACATCGGTTTCAGCATGTTTGTCATCATTTAAACATCAGACAAATCTTCGGAAGAAACTGATGATTAAATGTGTTTATTGGCGTATCAGTTTCAGTCCGTGGATTTCCGAAGGGCTAAAGCCAAAACACGTAGACAACGCGTCATACATGCATTTTATTTACTAACAGAATAAAAATCGATATTAGATTAAATGAATTTATATTCAGCTATATATATAAATGTAAATTCAAGCTTAACACTAAACATCCTGCATCGACAATTCTCATTGTATGGTTACTAACGTCACGTGTGTCCACGCATGTAACAATAATGCTTGATGTCGTTTGTCCCACCCAACAGGAACCAACGCCGAAGGGCCGTCCACAGAGAACTGATCCATAGCATAATTCATATCACAATAGATTCCCTTAAGCTAACGCACTCAAATTGGCCATTCGGACGGTCCTAAGGGAACCTGCGTGCAGCATGGTTTCGTTTATGCATTTTGTTGTGAGTAGTTTTTATGTTTTTGTTTTTTTTTATTGCGCGTTTTTTGTCCGGTAAATTTGGAATGCACCACCCTAATCGTCTTCGTCTCAACAGTGAAAGCATTGGAAGAACTGCCGCCTATCAACAACGCTGATGACTCGGATCGGTCGCCGGACGTCGAATTGCCAATTTACCAGCAGCGGGACAATTTTTTTACCTAGCTTACGGGCTTACTCTTGAAACAAAGCATAAATTCAATCTAATGTCAACTTGCAAGTATGCGTGTCATCTCAACACAACAAATGTTTTATTGTTGTTATTGGATTGAAATTATTTTTAAGGGTAGCACGTATGAAACAGCAGTTGCCCCATTCATTAATTTGCCAATTACATGAATAAGATACATACTAGAATTTCCCCATAATACTGTAAAGAAATATACAATATTTTGAAACGAGTAAGAAATTTACTGACCAATCACAAAGTACTTGAACATACAACATTACTAAGTAAAATTTAAACCTTAATGACGAAGATCTAATTAATATAAAATCTGTGTGTTTAAGAATGCACGTATTAGGAACAATATGGCGTTATATATCTATGATGCTATCCTAGTTTCATTTAATAGCTCGCCTAGTACATATCTTGTCAATAACTTGTCTTGTAATGATTGAGACTCCTTGTGTTATAAAAGGTCGCCAAACAAATGGTGCAACTTTTGAATTAGGCCTAACTAGTTCACGTGGTCTAGAACATATCGTATGAATGCCATATCTATGTGATGCTTACTAGAAAGTTCTGTAGGAATTGAGTTCGTATTTGCTCAAAATAGAAACATTCCGCTATTTCTTCATAATTTATAAGAGTTTCTATGTATTTATACTCTGTTGAACATGCGACAAGTCATCAATCGTAAATGATGGTATTAAATGAGAGTGTTCTCTCTTTCCCACAATCTTATACAAAGAAGAAAGACAAATGTTTGGTCTTCAACTTGTTGTTTAGTCCTAAATCGTTTTGGTGAATATTGACCAGCGTTATATTGTCTTACAAATATTCTGTTTCAGCCACATTTAGTATGTGTGTATTAGATACAGAAAAATATATTCAATATAATTTAAAATCTATAAGTTTTGGTTGCATCTGTAAATAACGTCTTCAGTAAAGGGCCTTTATTACTCTGTAAGTATATATATGACTATACCTATTATATTTTAACAAAATGCCATGTTACTATGTTTAGATGACTAGACTGCACTTTATAAGAGGATTGTTTAAAAGATTTGCCATTGATTTGATTGTAAAATGTAAATGCGTTTTAGTATTATAATTTAAGTGTTGTTTAATTTTATTTTATTTAGTTTTAATGTGACGTAACTGTCAAATAAGTTCACTGTGCTCTCCTCTGAAGCAACATAAAACTTCCGATTACAGTCCTAATTGTGACAACGATAGTTGCGTTATGCCATTTGACATAAGTATTATTTTGTAGATAGAAAAAATATATCTGTAATGCACATAGATGGTCAATTGTAGAATCTTATGAGAAATGCTTGTCTCCTAAGTCGCTTCACGCGTAGAAGCAATTGGTAATTCTTGTGATAAAAATATATATTCAATACTTCAGCTAGTATTTACAGATACATCAAATTCTATTTATCGTAGAACACAAAGGCCCATATAAGAAGCCTATGTAAAGCTTTAAATACTTATGACGTTGTAATCTTACACTTAGACGTAACGATTCTTTAACTAACGTTATAAATGTATACCTATACAAATCTAATATTTATAATTTAGTTATTACTTCATGATACTTTACGTTCATGCTTCGTCCAACCATTTATTGTACAGGGAAAGTCCTTGCGTTTTTACAGTTTCATGCATAACTAGCCATAATTCAATAATAGTATATACCCCTCTATAGATACTGGAAAAAGTATTTCAGGCGACCTAAGCGATACAGACTATAACAGCCATTTTCATTCACATTCACGGTTTACAGACAAACGGTTATAATTAATCAAAATAAATGGTTGGATTCATAACCATTAAGGTAATTTCATTACACGACAAATATTGTTAACGCCTAAAACTAAATATTTCTTGACTTTTAAAATACGTTAGTTAACTGTGTACTGGACGTATCCTTGTTTCCCAAGGGACATAATATAATAATAATTATGGTCACACGAAGAAAATGTATCGATAGAAAAGCAACCTAATTATTTATTCCTACGAAAAGCCTTCATTTAAAGTTACTTCATAGGAGCCAAGAATTTGTTATCCACTTCATGTGTTTAAAAGTGTATCTGATATGTAGCAGCGCCTCTAGAGGTTACATAAAGAACTACATTTCCTTAATCGGACTAAAAATTGTAATTTGTATGTTTCGCATGTTACATTTTATGAAACCGATAGTCGAAGATACGAGCTTAGCTAAGCGATAAATTTTGTTTTTTAATCGAAACATTTTCTCAGTCATGTTCTCGTTTGAAAAAAAAGGGCCTGAATATAATATGTAGTGATATCGTGGAAATTTTGTCTGAATTTCGAAGTAGTTGATGATGGACGTTTTACATCACACACTTTATTTTATATCAACCTAAAGACCATACGAAATGAATCCTTTGAGTTGCTTCCTAATAATGTATTGTTCATTGTCACCAGTCACGTTTCAATAATTTTGAAATTACCATAGACTGATAAGTTTTATCTAGATTTACTACTTCTATCGACTGTCCTACATTTGGATTATTTATACATAGTCAATTATGTACTTATCCTATCCTTGTTGAATACAAAGATTGTTTTATAATGTAATATTATTGTATTGGAAATAAAATATAACAAAATATAACGACCTTTTCTTTTGGTGCAGTCCATTCTTTAAAACTTTATGGCTTATTAAGAGTAATTTTGCTCTTTGGAGATTTACATGTCAGGTGTCAAATAAGCCAAAATAGGAGAGCCCAGTTTCCCATCTAGGGATTTCTGACACGTTTCTGTTGCGATGTTTTACGTATTTCAACTAAAGACTGGAACGCTATCATATTTTCCCGCGCATAAAATCTAGAATCTCTTGCGCTAAATAAAAGACGCAATTATAACTTTAGTACTTACAAGCTATTCTGATTTAAGGTGGCAAGGTATATTAATACACAGGACGTGGGTTCGATCCCCACCAAGAATAATATTTTTCAAATCGATTTATAATTTTTCTGAAACACGTACTCCGTCTGGAAATCTGGTTATTAATGGGTAGGAATATCGCAAACCTCGGCGTCGGTGTCTTTCTGAGGATTTTCGAATATCCAAAGCCAAAGGTCAACAGCCCATCTGGTTTAGATGTTACACAGTTGGAGTATTTCACCAAAAAGTGAGCTAGTGTATCATAAAAGTATAATCTAACACGAAATCATAGTAACATGCCAAATTAATCTACCGAAGTTCGACGTTGTCTTAAATGCCTTTGACTTTTGACTTTTGTATGGAGTTGTAATCTACACGTTGCTGGCATTACGGTAGACAAAATGCCCGTTGTTTAATGAATCGTAACATTCTAGCTTAGATCTTTAACTCGGTAAGAATTTAGCCTGAAGCGTTATAACATTTAGAAATAATCTAATCTTAAGTTATTGTACAAGAATTAACTTAACATGCAATCGAAAATTATTATTTAGAATACATTTATATGTCTGAATACAACATTGCAAATTGTAACTACCTCATTGTTTAAGTGGTGAAATAGTAGTTTCTAAGCAAATTTAGATTCACAGTTGGAGATGTCATCAGTCATTGAATGGCGTGGTGGGTCAAACCCATCTTGTCTAACCAACCCTATGTTCTATGACAGAAGTTATTATGTACCCAGCTGTAGAATAAAAAAGTTGTTTTATCATGTGTTTATAATTAATCGTCACCATAATGTCGTTATTACATAATAAACGTTAAAAAAACATCAATAAAACACATTTTCTTATAATTTATCTTTCCCATCATATCCATATAAGCGATGAACGATTGATTTTTTCGCTTTTTATAACATGTGTGTAATATAATATTGCTAACTCTTATATGGTAGACGGTTATTATTTATTATCTACGGTTAATATTATGTGTATAGCAAATAAATAAAAAAACGACTAGGATGCTAATGTTTAACCCTTGTTAGGGTTGCATCTCAAGAACCAGGATAGTAGGAGAGTTTAAATTATCACAAATTTCATTTCAATAAATAAAAAAAAAAACATGCTATAGCTGAATACTATCCGTAGTTTAAGCGAGAACACTTTTATATAAAATGATTTAACGGTTTGAAACGCGATATATGTTTTTGAGCAGCCGAGACATCGTGCCGTAGTTAAAATAATTTTCAAATTAGTTTAAGTAATATATATCTCGTTTAACTGTTTTATTTTGTTGAAAATGTTTTATTTTAATTTTATGGCTGCCATGCAAGGAATGTTGACTTTTTGACTTTTTCACTCGACATCAATAGTGGTAATAGGAAATAATTGAAAAAAAGTTACAATATAACATTTATGAACATATTAAATGGTACGGAACCCTTTGTTCGCGAGTCCGACTCTAGTCTTGTCGGTTTTTTGCTACCGAATTAACGAATAACAATTTGTTTTTATTTTTGAAGATTTTGTGTGATTTAAAAAAAGTGTTGTTGTCCTCCATTTCATTCGAAGAATGTGTGTTATTCAAAATATTGTACTTATTTAGAAATCTAAATACATGTTTATGTAAATTACCACCATAAATCATCACGTATTCGACGAACAAAATGAAAAACATATCTTTCAAATAGTTTACGAAAAACCTCCCTAATTATTTGTTTTTTAAGATTATTATTGTTTTAACAAACAATATTTTTCTATTACAAATGACAATG